GCAGAATAGAGCATGGGGAGCATGACTTCCCTAGATCTAGACACTATGCTCCTATTGATACATAGCTTAATGTGAATTAAGTTGAAACATGGCCAGTGTTATAGTCCAGCAAGTGTCAGAGGATTTTTCTGATGGTTCAGAAGATAAGCGGGATGATGGGGAGTCTGTGAGTGATCGGAGAGAATTGCAGGCAGATTAGTGCAATGTTTTTGATTCCTGTGCTTGTTTGGGAAAAAGTGAAAGTTCCAATTCCCTGTAGAAAAGACTTTGGGAAGATGGGGAGATTTCCAGGGAGTCTAGACTAGACACGAGAACGCAGGGAGTGAAAAACAGGCAGACTAGATATTCCCAGTGGATCCCTGATAAGACTCTGAAGTCCACATGTGTCAGGCATGATGTCATGGGTGTCTTTGAGGGCTTAAATGTTATGGTTTTGTTTCAGTCCCCTCAGAGGAGACAATGCTGCTATATGTATTGTCGAAGGCTTTCATGGCCAGAATTACTGGGTTGTAGGTTTTTTTCGGGCTATATGGCCATGGTCTATAGGCATTCTCTCCTGACGTTTCGCCTGCATCTATGGCAAGCATCCTCAGAGCAGTGAGGTCTGTTGGAACCAGGAAAAAGGTTTATATTTCTGTGGAATGACCAGGGTTGGACAAAGGACTCTTGTCTGCTGACCATTTCTTGCTGTTTCTTTGTCAGTGTTGATGTGGAGATTGTCTGGGTTGCCTACTCTGGAACATGCAACTTATAATTGTCCCTCTTTAGGGGTGTCTTTCAAATCTATGATATTATATCTGTCATATACATATATATTTATGTGTGTGAATCATATCTATCTATATCTATGACTGGATGGCTCTTTGTCAGGAGGGCTTTGATTATGTTTTCTTTCCCTGGTGAAGGGAGTTGGACTGGATGGCCTTAAGGCAGCATTTCTCAACTTGGGGGTCGAGGGGGGTGCCAGAAGGGTCGCCAAAGACCACCAGAAAACAGAGTATTTTCTGTTGGTCATGGGGGTGGTTCTGTGTGGGAAGTTTGGCCCAATTCTATCATTGGTGGGGTTCAGAATGCTCTTTGCAGCAACAAATCAGTGGATATGTTTTCATGTTGGGAAACTATCATGTCCTCCCCTCCTGCCCTTTGGATGAAATTATTTATCCAATTTGCTCCTTAACATACTGCTCTTTAACAGAAACTCTCAAAGAGGTTGGCACAAAGAGTAGAATAGCACAGCATGTCATTTTGTGTCCTAATTTGGCTCATTTCAAAGATTTATCTCTTCTGGCAGGCCTCTTCAGTCAATTTTAAACGATGAATTTTCAATTTGCATTTTATTGGTGTTTTACTTTTTTATGTATGTATTTTAATGGTCTTCTTTCTAATCTATGTATTTTAACTATGTTGCACCCCACCTAGAGTCATCAAAAGAGGCGAATAACAAACATTTTTTTTCTTTTTCTCCTCCCCCTCTTCTTCTTTTTCCTCCTCTTCATTCACTTCTTTCTTCTTTTTCTTCCTCGTCTTCTCCTTCCTCCTCCTCCTCCTCCTCATCTTCTTCCTTCGCTTCCTCTTTTTCTTTTTCTTCCTCTTCTTCCTTTTCCTCCTCTTTCTTCTTCCTCTTCCTCCTCTTTCTTCTTTTTCTTCCCCCTCTTCTTCTTTTTCCTTTTCTTCTCCTTCCTCCTCCTCCTCTTCTTCCCCCTCTTCCTCCTCCTCCTCCTCCTCCTCCTCGTTCTTCTTTTTCTTCCCCTTCTTCTTTTTCCTATTCTTCTTCTTCCTTCTCCTTCTCCTTTTCTTTGTTCTCCATCTCCTCCTCTTCTTTCTCTTCCTGTTCATCCTCTCATCCTTTTTCTCCATTTTTTCTTCCTCCTCTTCCTCTTCTTCTTTTTCCTCCTCTTCATTCTCCTCTTTCTTCTTTTTCTTCCTCCTCGTCTTCTCCTTCCTCCTCCTCTTCCTCTTCTTCTTCCTTCTCTTCCTCCTTCTCTTCTTCTTCTTCTTCTTCCTCTTCCTCCTCTTCCTCTTTCTTCCCCCTCTTTCTTCTTTTTCCTCATCTTCTCCTTCCTCCTCCTCCTCATCTTTTTCCTTCTCATCCTCCTTCTCTTCTTCTTCTTCCTCTTCCTCCTCTTTCTTCTTTTTCCTTTTTCTCCTTCCTCCTCCTCCTCTTCTTCCCCCTCTTCCTCCTCCTCCTCCTCTTCCTCCTCGTTCTTCTTTTTCTTCCCCTTCTTCTTTTTCCTATTCTTCTTCCCCTTCCTCCTTCTCCTTTTCTTTGTTCTCCATCTCCTCCTCTTCTTCCTCCTCTTCCTCTTCATCTTCTCATCCTTTTTCTCCGCTTCTTCCTCCTCCTCTTTCTTTTCCTCTTTCTCTTCTTCTTCCTCCACTTCTTCCTCTTCCTCCTTCTCCTCCTTTTCTTCTTTTTCCTTCTCTTCCTCTTCCTTTTCCTCCTCATTGTCTTCTTAACTTTGAATATTTTTTAATGGATTTTAACTGTGACATTTTTAATCCCATTTATATTTAATTCTGTTTTGATGTTTGCATATCTCTATATTTTGAATTGTATGCTAAAGCTTTATATTAAGCCGCTTTGAGTTTCCTTTGGGAGAATTAAAGCGGGGGAATTAATAATAATAATAATAATAATAATAATAATAATAAACCTTCCTTCCCCTCTTCTTCCTCTTCTTATTTTCCCTTCCACTACACAGGTCATCCCAGATTGGAAAGAGCAAGAGTGGTCTGCCGAGAAGCCCGAGAACTATGCCGGGATTTTTCATTTCCAGTTCTGGCGTTTTGGGGAGTGGGTGGACGTGGTGATTGACGACCGCCTGCCCACGCTCCACAACCAGCTCATCTACTGCCATTCCAACTCCAAGAATGAGTTGTGGTGTGCGCTGGTGGAGAAGGCCTATGCCAAGTGAGTACATCCTTATGACATCAGGACAAAACAGGACAGAATGTGCGGTGTTGCCATTGAGCTTCCTTACTATTGAGGATAACATTCGCTTTACAGAACTACAACTCCAGGAGCGATTGGGGTGGCATCTTATTAGTGGCGTGTGCAGGTGGCCATACATAAGCATATTTATTTATTTATCGTGTCAGGAGCAACCAGACATTTGTATTGCATTTTTAACAAAACAAACAAACAGACAAAACACAAAGTTTGCAAGCTTGGTAGTTAATTAAATGTCCTTTGACCAGTATCTGGCCACTTGGAGTGCCTCTGGTGTTGCCGCAAGGAGGTCCTCCATTGTGCATGTGGCAGTGCTCAGGTTGCATTGCAGCAGGTGGTCAGTGGTTTGCTCCTCTCCACCCTCGCATGTCGTGGACTCCACTTTGTAGCCCCATTTCTTGAGGTTGTCTCTGCATCTCGTGGTGCCAGAGTGCAGTCTGTTCAGCGCCTTCCAAGTCGCCCAGTCTTCTGTGCGCCCAGGGGGGAGTCTCTCATTTGTTATCAGCCATTGATTGAGATTCTGGGTTTGAGCCTGCCACTTTTGGACTCTCGCTTGCTGGGGTGTTCCAGCGAGTGTCTCTGTAGATCTTAGAAAACTATTTCTTGATTTAAGTCATTGACGTACTGGCTGATACATAAGCATAAGAAGCCCTATATAAGTGTAGAGATATCGATATATAGCTTCCTTTTATTGTTCAATGCCATCATTTCCCTATGATGAAAGCTTGAGGTGCATCCACAGTGTAGAATGAATGCAAATTGACACCACTTTAGCTATCATGCCCCAATGCTATGGAATCACAAGATTTGGTGAGACCCCAGTCTTCTTTGGCAAAGAAAGCTAAAGGCCTTGTGAAACTACAACTCCCATGATTCCATAGCATTGAGCTGTGGCCCTTAAAGTGGTACTGCACATTGTTGGGAAGTCCAGTATGCTTAGGCAAGAATATGTGTGAGTAATGACTTGTTTACAATATGATACTTTAAATAGCATGCCCGAAATTAATTTAGATTGTTTCTGAATTGTATGGCAAGCAGTTGACAATAGTGCAGTAAGTGCAATAAGTATAGACACGCAAACACAAACAAAAGCAGAGACTTCTCCTTTCATTTCCGGCTTCTGGAGGTGGTGCTCATCTCTGGCTCTGGGGAGGTGCTTTCTCCATTTTCAAGCCGAGGAGCCTGCATTGTCACCTGGTTGTGTGGGCTGCAAGATTGTTTGGAGCATCTCTGCCTTTTCTTGCTGAAACAGTGTCTATTTCTCTATTCGCATTTGCGTCTTTTTGAACTGCCAAATTGGCAGGAGCTGGAGCTGACAGATGGGAGCTCACCCTGTATTGCGGATTTGAACTGCCGACCTTCAGGTCAGCAGTTCAGCATCACAAGGGTTTAAACCCCATTGCACCACCACAGCTCCCTTTTTCTTTGTTTGTTTGTATCTTTTTGTTTGTTTGTTTAAAGAAGGTAGATTTACAGGGGGGTGCTGCATATTTTTTCCCTGGAATAATAATAATAATAATAATAACTTAATTTTATACCCCGCCTCCATCTCCCCGAAGGGACTCGAGGTGGGTTACAGAGGGACAAGGCCAAGGATTACAAATAAAACTTTTGCCATAGGTTCTCCAGTTCAACTCCAGTTCAGAGTTGCTCTAGAAGACTTATATACACTATTTATTTGACTCTAATGCTCACTTTCTTGGGTTAAATGACCTTACCAAAATTAGGATGTGCACTAGATTTGTGTAATATGGCAGTCTTAGTGCTGAGCCAATTATATTATTCCATATTGTTTACTGTATTTTATTTTTTATTTTATTTATTTTATTGTACTGTTGTTTTAGTTTCAAACTACAAGAGAGGAGATTCCATTTGAACATGAGGAAGAACTTCCTGACTGTGAGAGCCGTTCAGCAGTGGAACTCTCTGCCCCAGAGTGTGGTGGAGACTCCTTCTTTGGAAGCTTTTAAACAGAGGCTGGATGGCCATCTGTCAGGGGTGATTTGAATGCAATATTCCTGCTTCTTGGCAGAATGGGGTTGGACTGGATGGCCCATGAGGTCTCTTCCAACTCTTTGATTCTATGATTCTATTTTATTGTAATGCACTGTTGGGCTTGGCCCCATGTAAGCCGCCTCGAGTCCCTGTTGGGGAGATGGTGGCGGGGTATAAATAAAGATGATGATATTATTATTAAACAACAGAGGGGAAACAAACAGGCACATAAAATCACTCTCAACAAAAGATTCCCCCCAGGCACTTCCAAGCCATTGAATGCTAATCAAGGTGATCAGCTGAAACATTTTGTCTAGCCCCAGCAGACAAAAGTCCTTTGTCTCACCCTGGTCATTCCACAGATATATAAATCCATTTTTTCTAGTTCCAACAGACCTCACTACTTCTGAGGATGCTTGCCATAGATGCAGGCGAAACATCAGGAGAAAAATTGCCTCCAGAACATTGCCATATAGCCCGGAAAAACCTACAACAATCCATTATTATTATTAATAAAGGAAAAGGGGAAGCTGCATTAGGAGCTGCAACTCTTTGAAGCATGTCATCTCTGGTTTAATGGCCACGTCTCAATGATATCCAATGCTGGCATTTGTAGTTTGGTGAGGCATCTCCATCCTTTGACAGAGAAGGCTCGAGACCTTGTCAAACTACAGCCCCCATGATTCCATAGCATTGAACCAAGGCAATTAAAGAGGATTCATTCTGCAGCATCGATGCACCCCAAGGTTTTCTTTTCTGATAGTCTCAAGTAAATACAGTAGTTATATGGTTTTATGCGCTCCTAATTCTAGTGAATGTAGCAGACTGACTGTATTTCTGTGTCTCCAAATTCAGGCTCTCCGGATGTTACGAAGCCTTAGATGGAGGCAACACAGCTGATGCCTTGGTGGATTTCACCGGCGGTGTGTCAGAACCCATTGACCTCCTGGAAGGAGGATACGCTGACGACGAAGCCAAGCGCAACCTCCTCTTTGAGCGGGTGCTCAAGGTCCACAACCGGGGAGGCCTCATCAGCAGCTCCATCAAAGTAAGGCACCTCCAGGTGTTACTTATTGCAGGAGGGAGAGTTTTCCAGATACTGCAGACCGATGGGGAAAGAGCCAGATTGATATAAATGATAAATGGATAACCTTAAGGACTGTATAATAGCTTTCCTCAGGTCAAACTTTCCCTGTTTCTGCTTCCTTGAGGTTTTGGTGATTCAGTGTCCCTCCATCTTGAACACTTCTAGCTATTGTTCCTCAGGTTTTTCCCCCAGCAATATTCCTAAATTAGTCATTGTTCTACATTCCCTAGATTTAGGGAATTGGGATCCCTTGGAAAGTGAAAAACCCCAATATCTCTATCTCTTATCTCTCTCTCTCTCTCTCTCTCTCTTTCTATCAATCTATCTCTATCAATCTATCTCTATCAATCTATCTCTATCAATCTATATCAATCTATCTCTATCTATCTATCAATCTATCTATCAATCAATCTCTCTATCTCTCTCTCTCCCTATTTATCTCTATCTATCTCTATCTATCTCTATCTCTATCTATCTATCTCTATCTATCTATCTCTATCTATCTCTATCTATCTATCTATCTATCTATCTCTATCTATCTATCTCTATCTATCTATCTATCTCTATCTATCTATCTATCTATCTCTGTCTCTCTATCTCTATCTATCTATCTATCTATCTACTATCTATCTCTATCTCTCATCTCTCTCTCTCTCTATCTCTATTCTATCTATCTATCTCATCTATCTCTCTATCTCTCTCTCTCTATCTCTCTATCTATTCTATCTATCTATCTATCTATCTATCTATCTATCTATTTCTATCTATCTATCTATCTCTTTATCTATCTATCTCCCTCTCTCTCTCTCCCTCTCCCTCTCTCTCCATCTCTCTCTCTCTCTCTCTCTCTCTGTGACAGAGAGAACACATCTTTAGGAATTTCTAGGTCTTCCAGCATGACTTTATGGGCAACTTCTTCTGATGCTGCCCATAGAATAGCATATTAGATGGAAATGGCACAGTATTTCCAGGAAAAAATACTGTTTGATGCACATGTGGTTGATTGATGTCACCTGAGTAATGACAGCAAATGTCATGATATAATACCTAAAAGAATGTGGTAATGACTGAGTCAGGACCATGTGAGGGTTATTGCAAAGGGGTTACATCAGCCAGTATCCTTTACTAATGACTTATCAGCAGGTAGTTCTATAAGGAGGATGAAAGAATCATTTTCTCTCTCCTACTCAGTGTGAGTATCTGTCTATTCTGTATGTGACTATCAGATGGCCCTGGTTGTTTGCAAGTACAAGGAAAGTGGATCTGCATATCCTGGTGGTATATCTGTATATACAACTGTGAAGATTAAAGCCCAGATATTTTAGATGAAAACTTGAATTTGTGAATCTATTAAACAGTATGTAGATAAGGTCAGATGCTGGCAGTTAGACTCTGCTGATAAACGGGTGGAAGCATATGAGCCAACAATGTCATGTGGTGGCAAAAAAAGCCAATGGGATTTTGGCCTGCATCAATAGGAGCATAGTGTCTAGATCTAGGGAAGTCATGCTACCCCTCTATTCTGCTCTGGTTAGACCACACCTGGAATATTGTGTCCAATTCTGGGCACCACAATTCAAGAGAGATATTGACAAGCTGGAATGTCCAGAGGAGGGCGACTAAAATGATCAAGGGTCTGGAGAACAAGCCTATGAGGAGCGGCTTAAGGAGCTGGGCATGTTTAGCCTGAAGAAGAGAAGGCTGAGAGGAGATATGATAGCCATGTATAAATATGTGAGAGGAAGCCACAGGGAGGAGGGAGCAAGCTTGTGTTCTGCTTCCCTGGAGACTAGGACGCAATGGTTGAATACTATTATTATTATTATTATTATTATTATTATTATTATTATAACTTTATTTGTACCCCGCTAGCATCTCCCAAGGGATTCGATGCGGCTTACAACAGGCCGGAGCCCAACACAATACAATAATACAATACATAGCAAATAAACACAGTTAAAGCAGAAAACAACAGCAATAGCAATACAACAGGACATTATTAAAAACTGAGCCGGCCGGAGTAGGGTACAGGATTAAAAAGTGCTGAAGTGTCGGAGGGATATGGGATTAAAATATAAGTGCAGTGTGCGGTGAGGGTGATCTTGACTCTACTAAAGTGCTTCTGGGCTTTGGTAGTGGGGTTCCTAATCTGAGAAGGCACGTTGGAACAGCCAGGTTTTCAGGTTCTTTCTGAAAACCGCCAAAGTAGGGGCCTGTCTGAGATCTTTCGGGAGGGCATTCCAGAGGCGGGGAGCCACCACAGAGAAGGCCCTGTCCCGCGTCCCCACCAAGCGCGCCTGCGACGCGGGCGGGATCACGAGCAGGGCCTCTCCTGATGACTGGAGTGAACGTGTGGGTTCGTAGACTGTGATGCGGTCACGCAGGTAGGGTGGTCCCAAACCGTTCAGGGCTTTGTAGGTAAGCACCTGCACCTTAAATTGGGCTCGGAAAATAAACGGCAGCCAGTGGAGCTCCTTAAACAGAAGGGTTGACCTCTCTCTGTAATGGGCCCCCGTTAACATCCTGGCTGCTGCCCGTTGGACCAATTGGAATTTCCGAGCCGTTTTCAAGGGCAGCCCCACGTAGAGCGCATTGCAGTAATCCAGTCTAGAGGTGACTAAGGCATGGACCACCCCGGCCAGATCAGCCTTAGCGAGGTACGGGCACAGCTGGCGCACAAGTCTCAGTTGTGCAAAAGCCCTCCCGGCCACCGCCGACGCCTGAGCCTCAAGCGTGAGCGATGAGTCCAGGAGGACTCCCAAGCTGGGGACCTGTGGCTTCAGGGGGAGTGTAACCCCGTCCAACACAGGTTGCCACCCTATACCCCGATCTGGTTTGCGATCGACCAGGAGGACCTCTGTCTTGTCAGGATTGATCTTCAGCTTGTTCCTCCTCATCCAGATAGACACAGCGGCCAGGCACTCGTCCAGCACCCGAGAGGCCTCCTTGGAAATGGCTTCAAACTACAAGAGAGGAGATTCCATCTGAACATGAGGAAGAACTTCCTGACTGTGAGAGCTTCAGCAGTGGAACTCTCTGCCCTGGAGTGTGGTGGAGGCTCCTTCTTTGGAAGCTTTAAACAGAGGCTGGATGGCCATCTGTCAGGGGTGATTTGAATGCAATATTCCTGCTTCTTGGCAGGGGGTTGGACTGGATGGCCCATGAGGTCCAACTCTTTGATTCTATGAATGGCACCCTAATTTGACAAGCTGGAATGTGTCCAGAGGAGGGGGACTAAAATGATCAAGGGTCTGGAGAACAAGCCCTATGAGGAGCAGCTTAAGGAGCTGGGCATGTTTAGCCTGAAGAAGAGAAGGCTGAGAGGAGATATGATAGCCATGTATAAATATGTGAGAGGAAGCCACAGGGAGGAGAGAGCAAGCTTGTTTTCTGCTTCCCTGGAGACTAGGACGCGGAACAATGGCTTCAAACTACAAGAGAGGAGATTCCATCTGAACATGAGGAAGAACTTCCTGACTGTGAGAGCCGTTCAGCAGTGGAACTCTCTGCCCGGAGTGTGGTGGAGGCTCCTTCTTTGGAAGCTTTTAAACAGAGGCTGGATGGCCATCTGTCAGGGATGCTTTGAATGCAATATTCCTGCTTCTTGGCAGGTGGTTGGACTGAGGTCATGAGGTCTCTTTCAACTCTATGATTCTATTAAAGGACTCTGCTATATTTTGCTTGGTTATGGGACACTTGCTATACAGCTTGAAGCAGATCAAGGAGGTCATGATTATTTCAAAACTATAAATCACTTCATGCCATAACACTGAAGGACATAGAGATTCCCAGAAGAGTATTTATCTCTCGAAATCTCCATGTTCTCCAGCATAATCTAAGGAAGTTGATCATGCAGTCACTCTGGAGGGGTCAAGAAATTCCTAGTGGGAATATTTTAATTATTTTGTCAATTGGATCAAAAAGGCAAAATGATTTTAATCAGATCCGCAGTGAATTTAATCAGATCCTCAAAAGTCAAAACTGCAAATGTTGAGGGACGGATCAGCTACATTTTCTCTCTCTTGATTTCATATTCTTCATTTCCTTTCTTGGGAAGGCCACCTCAGCTGCGGACATGGAAGCCCGCCTGGATTGTGGCTTGGTCAAGGGACATGCTTACGCCGTCACCGATGTGAAGAAGGTCCGCCTGGGCCATGGCCTCTTGGCCTTTTTCAAGTCGGAGAAGCTCGATATGATCCGGCTGAGGAACCCGTGGGGGGAGAGGGAGTGGAACGGACCGTGGAGCGACACGTGAGTAAGAACCAAGTCATGGAAGCGGCAGCAATCAGAGCGAGAAGGGGATGGAGATTTGCCTTCCAACTATCCCAAGGTGCATCTACACCAGGCATGGGGAAACTTTGGCCCTCCAGGTGTTTTGGACTTCAACTCCCACAATTCCTAAGAGCCGGTAGGAGTTGAAATCCAAAACACCTGGAGGGCCAAAGTTTCCACCTTCCTGCCGTAGACAGTGATTTCGCCTTCCCTGTAACCTTGTGTGTTTACACCGTCACCCCAAATGTAGTCCAATGCAGATTGATAGGTGGGGATGTATATATATTATTTTCACCATAAGATATGTGTAATTTTTGTTTCTAAAGCTCTGAAGAATGGCAGAAAGTCAGCAACAGTGAAAGAGAAAAGCTGGGGATGACTGTGCAGGATGATGGAGAATTTTGGTGAGTGTGTTGTACAAATAAGATACTGATTTTTGTTTACTTTTTAACAAAATCTCTATCCTTCGTTTAAAAAGGTATTTAAGGCAGGCAAAAGTGATACAAACTGATTAAAAACAAAGTCTTGATTTTAGAAAATCATGACTTTTTAAAGATTATAACCTTTTAGAGAAGAGCCAAAAACCTGTTTGAGTAGAATCTTCTCAAGTCCTGTATTTGTTTATTTACTTACTTCATTTATATACCGCTTTTCTCAGCCCTCGGGTGACTCAAAGTGGTTAACAATAGCAAAAATTCGATGCTTGATATACAAAAGCAGTTAAAAAACAATTAAACAACAACATAATAAACAGTTAAACATCAATATAACATCTCATTAGCGTCTCAGTAAAATCATGATCCAATCTCATCATCCGTTGTTCCGTATTTCTATGTTCATTACACTGCCTATTCAAATAGGCTCGAACAACCAGGTCTTCACTTTCCTCCAAAATGCCAACAGGGAGGAAGCCGGTCTAATTTCTGTAGGAAGGGCATTCCACAGCCGAGGGGCCACCACTGAGAAGGCCCTGTCTCTCATTCCTGCCAGATGTACCTGTGATGCAGGCGGGACCGAGAGCAAAGCCTCCATAGATGATCTTAATGCCCTAACTGGTTCATAGGAGGAGATGCGTTCGGACAGGTAAGTTGGGCCAGAACCGTTTAGGGCTTTATAGGCTGACGCCAGCACTTTGAATTGTGCCCGGTAGCAGACTGGTAGCCAGTGGAGCTGGAGCAACAAGGGAGTCGTGTGCAACCAAACACAATTGGCTTCAGTTGTTAGACTGAACAACCTGTTAACTCTGACCTGTTAGGAAACAGAGAATACGCCAGTGCATAAAAATAGCAGTTCTTCAGAAGTGTAAAAATAACATATTTGGTTTACTCATGACCTTCATGTTTTCAGCATACACAGGTACACAACTTATCAGTTAGTTACAGATGTGTTTGAGATCATTTCTATGCCATCCAGTCAGAATATCTCTCACACAATAAGAGCCTTTATCACACTGGCGAAGGTAGTGGGAGAAAGGTTTTTTGCCACTTCAGTCGCTCAAGAGGCCGGCCCAAAATTAGTCCGCAGGGACTACTTTTGGGGGAAGGCGGAGCCCAGCAAGTTTGCTGCCCTTTCCACTTCCTTAAGGACCGCGAAAACCCAACCCTCCCGCCCATTAACAGTATAATTGAGTGGGTCGCCCGTAGGGGGGCCGGGTAGGAATTTTTTGCCCCCTTTCCCCTTGTGGAGAGGGGTTTTTTTCGCCTACCCTATACTGTTGCACGAGGGCAAATTGGGAGGGTAGGGACTTAAATAGGCATACCCAGTGCAGCGTGAGCAGGATGGATATTGAATTCGGTGCACACCCAAGGCGCCCATTTGGATGGTCCAGCAACTGTAACCTGGCCCTAGGATAATATTGGGGGGCAAGGAAAATTAGAGTGGCTCGGGATTTTGAAGAGGGACATCAATAATTCCGGGAACAGGTTCACCCTCACCAGTTTCATTGCCAAGTTCATGGCCAGGTCAAGGCCAAGTTCAATGCCAAGTTCATGGATATAAGTTTATACTCAGTTATGGTGGTGGTAGGTAGATTTAGTTTCTAATTAGGTAACAATAATAAAGTTGCCCTTAGTTAACCCAAGCACATGTGTGGCCTCTTTATTTGCGACGGTGATGTGGCAAACAGCAGGCAGGTCTGCGATCTGAGCAGTCCCACAGTCTAAAGAAGTCTGTGCTAATCTCAGAGCAGATCATGTGGTTTGCAGCCTCTCCCACAACTTCTCAGGAAAACATAGAACAAGGAAAGAAAGCTGCACATCAGAACATACATACAATAAGTAAACAACAGTATCATAGATAAACAAATTGCTAGAGGAGGCTTGAAGAAGGTTGTAATTTCCAACAAATTTGAAAAATGAAAACAAACAAACAACGAAAGTAAATAAAATTCAACATTTGTGGCTTGGAAAGGTTCCTTTTTAGACAAAATCTCCTTGGCAGATTCCAGGAATCCAAAAAGTTATTTTTTTAACTTTGTTAAAAATAATTTTAACTTTGTTAAATGTGATAGGTAAAAACTGCAACTGTGAAAATTAACAAAGCAAGGTGAAAATGGTGTTTTCTGCACAAAGAAGAAAATGCTATTTCTTCTCAGAATTATTTATTAATTTATTCTTATTATTTCCCACATTTCTAACCCCCTCAAACTGTGATGTGTGATGTGATGTGATTTTATATGCTTGCATGAATTTAACCTGGATCGTTGTAATATTAATGTTGTTTAATACTGTTTGTATATTTGTATATTTTAAGTTGTGAGCTGCTTTGAGTCTCCATGTGGAGAGAAAAAGCGAGATATAAATAAACATAATAATAGGTTCTTGTGGGTTTTTTCGGGCTGTATGGCCATGTTCTCTAGAGGCATTTCTCCTGACGTTTTGCATGACCTCACCTCTGAGGATGCTTGCCATAGATGCAGGCGAAACGTCAGGAGAAATGCTCTAGAACATGGCCATACAGCCCGAAAAAAACCCACAAGAACCTAGTGATTCCAGCCATGAAAGCCTTCGACAAACATTAAAATTAATAATGTATTGTCGAAGGCTTTCATGGCTGGAATCACTGGGTTGTTTAGGTTGTTGTAGGTTTTTTCAGGTTGTTCAGGTTGTTGTAGGTTTTTTCATGCTATATGGCCATGTTCTAGAAGCATTCTCTCCTGACGTTTCACCTGCATCTATGGCAAGCATCCTCAGACCTCACAACCCCTGAGGATGCTTGCCATAGATGCAGGTGAAATGTCAGGAGATGGCCATATAGCCCAAAAAACCTACAACAACCCAAACATCATCATCATCATCATTATCGTCATCATCGTCATCATCTGGTTTAATTCTGCAGTGTAGATGCATATTCTACTAGAAAATATAAGAACCTTGAAACCTGGTTAGGTCAAGAGTCAACATTTATCTTTTCTATCCTAGGATGGCGTTTGATGACTTCTGCAAGTATTTCACGGACATCATCAAGTGCCGCCTCATCAACACGTCTTACCTGAGCATCCACAAGACCTGGGAGGAGGCGGTCCTGCGGGGGGGATGGACGCGGCACGAAGACCCCCTGAAGAACCGGAGTGGAGGGTGCATCAATAACCGGGACACTTTCCTGCAGAACCCCCAGGTGGGAAGGCAGAGAGGCGGCCCATTTCTGCCAAGTAAAGGCTTATTCGGTTCAGAAAACAAAGTCCAATAGAGGTAGAGATTTTTTTTATTTCAGATAACAAAGTAGTAGACCGTATCATGGACTTTGGTTAGATTTGGCTTGAAAACAGTACATGTGAAAGCAATGAGAGAAGTTTCCAGTACTACACTAAAATGAGATGCACAGATATAGGATGGGTAACAGCTGGTTTGAAAACAGTCCAAGCAGAAGGGATCTTGGAGTCTTAGAATCATAGAATCAAAGAGTTGGAAGAGACCTCATGGGCCATCCAGTCCAACCCCATTCTGCCAAGAAGCAGGAATATTGCATTCAAATCACCCCTGACAGATGGCCATCCAGCCTCTGTTTACAAGCTTCCAAAGAAGGAGCCTCCACCACACTCCGGGGCAGAGAGTTCCACTGCTGAACGGCTCTCACAGTCAGGAAGTTCTTCCTCATGTTCAGATGGAATCTCCTCTCTTGTAGTTTGAAGCCATTGTTCCGCGTCCTAGTCTCCAGCGAAGCAGAAAACAAGCTTGCTCCCTCCTCCCTGTGGCTTCCTCTCACATATTTATACATGGCTATCATATCTCCTCTCAGCCTTCTCTTCTTTAGGCTAAACATGCCCAGTTCCTTAAGGCGCTCCTCATAGGGCTTGTTCTCCAGACCCTTGATCATTTTAGTCGCTCTCCTCTGGACACATTCCAGCTTGTCAATATCTCTCTTCAATTGTGGTGCCCAGAATTGGACACAATATTCCAGGTGTGGTCTAACCAAAGCAGAATAGAGGGGTAGCATTACTTCCCTAGATCTAGACACTATGCTCCTATTGATGAGGCCAAAATCCCATTGGCTTTTTTTTGCCGCCACATCACATTGTTGGCTCATGTTTAACTTGTTGTCCACGAGGACTCCAAGATCTTTTTCACACGTACTGCTCTCGAGCCAGGGATTGTCCCCCATTCTGTATCTTTGCATTTCGTTTTTCCTGCCTAAGTGGACAAGCTGAATATGAATGAACCAACAGTGTGATGCCACAGCAAAAAAAGCCAATATGATTCTAGGCTGCATCCATAAGACTATAGTGTCTACATCAGCGTATCTCAACCTGGGGGTCAGGACCCCTGGGGAGGGGGTCGCAAGCGGGTGTCAGAGGCATCGCCAAAGACCATCAGAAAACACAGAGGGAACCCTTTAAACCAGTGTTTCTCAACCTGGGGGTCAGGACCCCTGAGGGGGTCGCGAGGGGGTGTCAGAGGGGTCACCAAAGAACATAAGAAAACACAGTATTTTCTGATGGTCATGGGGATTCCATGTGGTAAGTTTGAGCCAATTCTTTCGTTGATGGAGTTCAGAATGTTATTTGATTGATCAAGGGTCTGGAGAACAAGCCCTATGAGGAGCGGCTTAAGGAGCTGGGCATGTTTAGCCTGAAGAAGAGAAGGCTGAGAGGAGATATGATAGCCATGTATAAATATGTGAGAGGAAGCCACAGGGAGGAGGGAGCAAGCTTGTTTTCTGCTTCCTTGGAGACTAGGACGCAGAACAATGGCTTCAAACTACAAGAAAGGAGATTCCATCTGAACATGAGGAAGAACTTCCTGACTGTGAGAGCCGTTCAGCAGTGGAACTCTCTGCCCCGGAGTGTTGTGGAGGCTCCTTCTTTGGAAGCTTTTAAACAGAGGCTGGATGGCCATCTGTCAGGGTGATTTGAATGCAATATTCCTGCTTCTTGGCAGAATGGGGTTGGACTGGATGGCCCATGAGGTCTCTTCCAACTCTTTGATTTTATGATTCTATGATTCTATGATTCTATGATTGTAATGAACTATAAATCCCAGCAACTACAACTCCCAAATGGCAAGATCTATTTTCCCCAGACTCCACCAGTGTTCACATTTGGACATATTGAGTATTCGTGCCAAGTTTGGTCCAGATCCACCATCGCATGAGTCCACAGTGCTATCTAGATATAGGTGAACTACAACTCCCAAACTCAAGATCAATGCCCATCAAACCCTTCCGGTGTTTTCCATTGGTCATGGGAGCCAAGTTTGGTTCAAATCCATCGCTGGTGGAGTTCAGAATGCTCTTTGATTAGAAGTGAACTATAAATCCCAGCAACTACAACTCCCAAATTACAAAATCAATCCTCCCCCAACCCCACTAGCATTCAAATTTGGGTGTATTGGGTATTTGTGCCCAGTTTGGTCCAGTGAATGAAAATGCATCCTGCATATCAGATATTTACATTATGATTTATAACAGTAGTAAAATGACTGTTATGAAGTAGCAATGAAAACAATATTATGGTTGGGGTCACCACAACATGAGGGACTGGATTAAGGGGTCACGGCATTAGGAAGGTTGAGACCCACTGCTTTAAACAGTTTTTAAACATATGCTTCATGCCTTAGAAATGATCAGGCTTCAGAGAGTTGGCAGCCATTTCCTTCCTGGCTGTTTCCAGTCAGCGCTCTCTTCACTCGCGAAGGTGAAAGTGGCAGTTAAAACCGCTTGTCCCAGCAGCAAGCCAGAGACAGTAGCCAATCAGAATTCTGGCTCCTGGCATGCTCAGCCAATCAGCTGCTGATACATGTCTTTCCAGTCAACATCATGGCGTCTTTTTACAAATCTCAACAAACGTCTCCTTTTTCTGTCTCCTTTCCTTTTCTGGCAGTATGTTTTTGACGTGAAGAAAACAGAAGATGAAGTGCTCATTTGCATCCAACAGAAGCCCAAACGGACGAGTCGGAAGGAAGGCAAGGGGGAGAATTTGGCCATCGGGTTTGACATCTTCAAGGTAAACAGTGAAAGACAACAAAGCTTGAGATAGAGGGAATCGCTTTTGGACTACAACTCCTAAGATTCCAGCACTGCAGTTCCCAGAACGCCCAGAAACATTGCCATACTGGCTGGAGAAATTTGGGATTTGTTGTCCAAAATGCTCAAAGATCTGAAAGCCAATCTCTATAAGAATTGGCTTAGGGAGTTGGTATGTTTAGCTTGGAGAAAAGACAGTTGAGAGAAAGGAACGTGAGGACCATGTATTCAAAATGATGTCTCATTTGGGGTGGGCACAAGCTTGTGTTCTGCTGCTTTAGAGATTAAGACATGGAGCCATGGATTCAAATTACAGAAAAAAAAGAGATTTCACCTAAACATTAGGAAGAACTTCCTGATGGTTGTTATTGGTGTTTATTCATTCAGTCTCTTCTGACTCTTTGTGGCCTCCTGGACCAGCCCATACCAGAGCTCTCTGTCATCCGTGGCCACCCCCAGCTCCTTCAAGGTCAATCCAGTCACTTCAAGGATACCATCTAGGGCTGGGCGGTTTCGTTCGTTAATTTCGTAATTCGTTATTAATTCGTATTTAAATTAGCTTACGATCCGATATTGAGCCATGCAGGAATAGTGTGAGGAGTAAATTAGATTCAAAACAATTCTTTCAATTTATTTCGTTATTGTTTCATTATTATTTCAAAATTATTTCGTATTTTTTTCGTAATTATTTTCGCATGTCTGGTGCAAGTTTTATAGTTGTTTGTTTTATCACACCAACAGTCAACAACAGAGGGAGAGGGAAGCTTCAGAAGTTCCCCCTGTCCCATTTGGAGGTTTTTTTAGCATATTGCGCAATCGCGTCCGCCATTAACGAATCGATTCGAAATTTCCGAAATTTCGTAAATTTCGAAATTTTGAAATCTTAAATTTCGGAAGTCCTCAGAATTTGGAAACGCTAGCGCGCCCTAGAAACGAAACGAGTTTAGAACCAATTTTTTTCTTACCCAGCCCTAATACCATCCATCCACCTTGCCCTTGGTTGGCACCTATCCTTTTTCCTTCCATTTTCTCCAGCATCATTGTCTTCTCTAAGCTTTCCTGTCTTCTCATGATGTGGCCAAAGGACTTCATGTTGTTGTTGTTTATTCATTCAGTTTCTTCCGACTCTTTGTGGCCTCCTGGACCAGCCCACGCCAGAGCTCCCTGTCATCCATGGCCACCCCCATCTCCTTCAGAGTCAAGCCAGCCACTTCAAGGCTAACATCCATCCATCTTGCCCTTGGTCAGCCCCTCTTCCTTTTTCCTTCCATTTTCCCCAGCATCATTGTCTTCTCTAAGCTTTCCTGTCTTCTCATGATGTGGCCAAAGGACTTCATGTTGTTGTTGTTTATTCATTCAGTTTCTTCCGACTCTTTGTGGCCTCCTGGACCAGCCCACGCCAGAGCTCCCTGTCATCCGTGGCCATTCCCAGCTCCTTCAGAGTCAAGCCAGTCACTTCAAGAATACCATCCATCCTTCTTGCCCTTGGTTGGCCCTTCTTCCTTTTTCCTTCCATTTTCCCCAGCATCATTGTCTTCTCTAAGCTTTCCTTTCTTCTCATGATGTGGCCAAAGCACTTCATCTTGGCCTCTACTATCCTTCCCTCCAATGAGCAGTCGGGCTTTATTTCCTGAAGGATGGACTGGTTCGATCTTCTCTCAGTTCAAGGCAGTCTCAGAACTTTCCTCCAACACCACAGTTCAAAAGCATCTCTTCCTTCGCTCAGCCTTCCCTATGGTCCAGCTCTCACATCCATAGGTGACTATGGGGAATACCATTGCTTTAACTATGTGGATCTTTATTGCCAATGTGATGTCTCTACTCTTCACTATTTTATCAAGATTGGTCATTGCTCTCCTCCCAAGAAGTAAGAACCTTCTGATTTCCTGGCTGCAGTTTGCGTCTGCAGTAATCTTTGCACCTAGAAATATGAAGTCTGTCACTGCCTCCATGTATTCTCCTTCTATTTGCCAGTTATCAATCAGTCTGGTTGCCATCTCAGTTTTTTGGATGTTTAACTGCAACCCAGCTTTTGCACTTTCTTCTTTCACCTTGGTTAGAGGGCTCCTAAGCTCCTCTTTGCTTTCGGCCATCAAAGTGGTATCATCTGCATATCTAAGGTTGTTAATGTTTCTTCCAGCAATTTTAAATCCAGCCTTGCATTTGCCAAGCCCCGCACATCGCATGATGTGTTCTGCATACAAGTTGAATAGGTTGGGTGAGAGTAAACAACCCTGCCGTACGCCTTTCCCAATCTTGAACCAGTCTCTGTTTCTACTGTTGCTACTTGGTCATTATACAGATTCCTCAGGAGACAGACAAGGTGGCTTGGTCTCCCCATACATACCACCAAGAACTTGCCACAATGCATTATGATCCACACAGTCAAAGGCTTTAGAATAGTCAATGAAACAGAAATAGATGTTTTTCTGAAACTCCCTGCCTTTCTCCATTATCCAGAGGATATTGGCAATTTGGTCTCTCGTTCCTCTGCCTTTTCTAAACCCAGCTTGTCCACCTGGCAACTCTCTCTCCATGTCTTGCTGGAGTCTTCCCTGCAGGATCTTGAGCATTCCCTTAGTGGCATGAGAAATAAGGGCCACTGTATGGAAGTTTTAGCAGTCTTTAGTATTTCCCTTTTTTGGTATGGGGATATAAGTGGATTTTTTTCCAGCCTGATGGCCATTCTTGCGTTTTCCCTATTTGCTGGCATATGGCATGCATCACCTTGACGGCATCCTCTTTCAACATTTGAAATAGTTCAGCTAGGTCAGAGCTGTTGGTTAGAGCTGTTCAAAACTGGAATATGCTGCCTGTGGGTCTGGTGGAGTCTTTCTCTGGAGACAGAGTCTTGATGGGCATCTAGTATTCCTGTATCGCAGAATGGCGTTAAACGGAATGATCTGTCAGAGTGAGATCCTGGGGTCTATGCACAGCGGAATTGAGGTTACCAGATCACACAGATGCAAAATAGGACGCACTGCAGTTTTTAGTTTCAAAAATAACAAAGTTTACTTAGCACATCTCAAGACAGGTCTGCTTCCAAGCGGGCTACATCATGAGCACTACAAAGCACAGCACACAACAGTTTCCAGAACATGTGCTTATCTCATTTCTCTCTGGCTGAATCCTCCCTTTTTCTTCCCAGGCAGGAAACTTTGTTATCTAACTTCTGTCAAGGTCTTTACTCTCGCTGCCTCTAGCAACAACAATTCCAGCATACAATTGAACATAACTGAATCCATTTTGAATACATATGAACACCATTGTTAAACATATTGAAACACATTGAAAAACATACATGCATACTTTCAATAATCCTGACAATTTCTGTTCCAGCTATAGGATTCTGTGGTTCTTGCTACCCTCTGAGGCAACAAGGAACAAACCTGAACACTCCTTTCTTAATGTTTGCCTTTCCCCAGTCTTCTTGCATCGCACCTATTTTCCTAGATTTCTCCATGTCCCATCTTGACCATGCTCTGATGTTGCTTGGCCACATGTGCCTTGGTTTCCATCTGTGATATGTTGGGCGATCTGCATCCAATGGTTTGCATGATTTACAGTCCTGTTCTTTTTGTGCTTCCTCCCATTCAGGTGGAGCTGAATCGGATGTACCGGATGCACACTTTGCAGCCCAAGGTGGCCAGCTCCATCTACATCAACTCCCGCAGCGTCTTCTTGAGGACGGACATGAAGGAAGGCCGCTACGTCATCATCCCAACCACCTTTGAGCCAGGCCATGTTGCAGAGTTTCTTCTCAGGCAGTTCACAGATGTGCCTTCCGATTGCCAGTAAGACTTTTTCTTAACTCCCCCCCCCCTTTCCTGGTGAGAAGATGACTGTTAAGAGATTTGGGGAGTTGGGGTTTGGTGAGGCACCAGATCTCTTTGGTAGAGAAGCCTAAAACTCTTGTAAAACCACAACTCACAGAATTTGATAGCAGGTAATGACCTATAAAACCCTAAATGGTTGCCCCCCCCCCCATATTTTTGATTACATCTCCATCTATGAACTCCATCTATGGTCCAACGGGCAGCAGCCAGGATGTTAACTGGTGCTCCTTACAGAGAGAGGTCAACCCTCCTGTTCAAGGAGCTCCACTGGCTGCCGTTTATTTTCTGAGCCCAATTTAAGGTGCAGGTGCTTACCTTCAAAGCCCTGACCGGAAAATGAACGGCAGCCAGTGGAGCTCCTTGAACAGGAGGGTTGACCTCTCTCTGTAAGGAGCACCAGCTACAAAGCCCTAAACGGTTTGGGACCATCCTACCTGCGTGACCGCATCTCCGTTTATGAACCCACGCGCTCACTTCGTTCATCCGGAGAGGCCCTGCTTGTGATTCCGCCTGCGTCGCAGGCACGTTTGTGGGGACGCGAGACAGGGCCTTTTCTGTGGTGGCCCCCCGACTCTGGAACACCCTCCCCAAAGATCTTAGACAGGCCCCTACATTGGCAGTCTTTAGAAAGAACTTGAAGACCTGGCTGTTCCGATGTGCCTTTCCAGAATAGGAAAACTCCAATAACAAGTCTCAGAAGCACTTTATTAGAATTAAGATTGCTGGCACACTGCACTTACCCTATAATCCTTACATATCACCTGTCACATCAGCACTTTTAATCTGTACCCATTACTCTGGCCCGGCCCAGTTTTATTGTGTCTTGATGTATTGTTTATTGCTTGTTGTTTAATATTGCTTAACTGTTTTTAATTTGCTTTAGGTTGTGTATTGTTATGTTGTGTTTTGAGGCCTTGGCCTTTGTAAGCCGTATCGAGTCCTTCGGGAGATGCTAGCGGGGTAGAAATAATGATAATAATAATAATAATAATAATAATAATAATAATAATAATAATCTTGCGCGAACTCTAAGATCCTCCGGGGAAGCCCCCCTCTCGCTACCACGTCCATCACAAACACGGTTGGTGGGGACGAGAGAGAGGACCTTCTCGTTGGTGGCCCCCCGCCTCTGCAACACCCTTCCAAGGGAAATAAGACAAGCCTGATCCCTCCCCTCTTTTCGTAAGAGTTTGAAGACTTGGTGGTTTCAACAAATCTTTGAGAGTGATCAGTGCTAGCTCAGCCCAGACGCTGTCCGGATACGACCTAGAACCTGATATATTACCCTGGTCATTCTCCTAACAGGCCCCTGGAAATAGCCCATCCCCTCTATTGTCATTTACCTATTACAGTTCTGTACCCAAATTGCAGTCCCATCTTATTTCAATTTGTATCAGTCTTGACCCAGCCTTTTTAATTGTCCTTACCCATTCTTTTTCCATGCCCTAACAAATAGACATGAAGACCAGGCTGGATTTTTTCTTTTAATATTTAAGTGTCGTTGGGTAATTCCATGCTTATGTTGCTGTTACTGTTATTTTTGTTCATGTTGTGACTCTGTATGTTTTGATGTTGTTGCTTGGAGTCCACCCAGGGAGATAGAGCAGTATATAAATAAAGTTTTGTTGTTGTTGTTGTTGTTATTATTATTATTATTATTATTATTATTATTGCAGTTAAACTGCATTAATTCAGCATCTACACAAATAGATACTACACTGCTCAGAGCCCCCGGAAGCACAGCAGGTTAAACCGCTGAGCTGCTGAACTTGTTGACCAAAATGTTGGCAGTTCAAATCCTGGAAGCAGGGTGAGCTCCTGCTGTTAGGCCCAGCTTCTGCCAACCTAGTAGATTGAAAACATGCAAATGTGAGTAGATTAATAGGTACCGCTCCGTTGGGAAGGTAATGGCGCTCCATGCAGTCATGCCAGCCACATGACCTTGGAGGCGTTTATGGAAAACACCGGCTCTTCAGCTTCTGAGCACCCCCAGAGTCGGACACGACTAGACTTAATGTCAAGGGAAAACCTTTACTTACACTGCTCTGCCAAATGAGACTCAAAGTAGCTTACAATATAAATAAATATAATAGAATATAAATAACTATAATATAAATATAATAAAAACCGAACAGCTGAACCAGTATGGAGTATTATAGGTTTAAAATCATGCAATCATATATCCAGTTGGAACACTTCTTTTCCAACTGGATATTTGGGGGGAGGGAGAGATTTCTTCAGAGGGGGGTTGTTTTTGCCATCTTCTGAGGCTGAGAGAATGTTACTTGCTCAAGATCACCCAGCGGGTTTCCATGCTCAAGCCAGGAATTGACCCCAGATTTCCAGAGTTTTCGAACAACTGCACAACCAAGGGGTGCAAAATAAGAAGTTTGACTTCTAGCATTGCAACCGTGGAAACTGTTCCTACTTCTATCTCTTTGTTGTATTTACTGTCCCTTAGTCACTTTGCCTCGATTTCCCCTTTGCTTTGGATACCTCAATTCTATTCAAAGGTATTCCACTGGAGTTTTAAGATACTGCAATGATAAAAATATGGGGACTAAAGGGAAATTTCCTTTTGGGGGGTGGACTTCCTCCTTTTGCTTCAGTCCTGATGCTGTGCCAGGAGTGCTTTGTTTCTGTCTTCCTGTGGCAGAATGAGGTTGGATTGGATGGCCCCTGGGGTCCCTTTCACCGAGACTCCAGGGTTGGAGATTTGTCTATTTCCTGACCGTTTTGTTTCCTCCTTCTTCCTTTTCCTTTTTCAGGGAGCTGACCCTGGATGAGCCTCCGCACACTTGCTGGAGCGGCATGTGTGGCTATCCACATCTGGTGTCCCAAGTCCATGTCATCTCAGCTACTGGACTGAAGAACCAAGGCTCAGCAGAAGGTGCTTGACTCTTTCACTCCTCATTTCCAACCACATCTGGCCAAAGGGCAGCAGTATGAAAATATAACATAATGGGATCTGCATCAAACTACAAGGAAAAAAAATTGTTTTGTTTTTTCCATGTCAGGAGTGACTTGAGAAACTGGTCTGAGAGAATTGGCCATCTGCAAGGCACCCAGATGTTTTGATGTTTTATCATCCTTGTGAATGGTTTCTCTCATGTCTCCGCATGGGGAGCTGTACAAAATCCATAGGGAGGACACCATATATATATACTGCCAATGATAATATTGTGATTGGTGAAGTTTCCTTAAAGATCCCTGGTCTAAATCTATAAGCACAGAAGAGAGGCTGAACATATTATTGAGGGCTTACCTTCTGAAGATGTTTCTGCACTGTAGAATGAATGCAGTTTGACACCTCTTTAGCTGCCATGGCACAGTGCTGTGGAATCCTGGGAGTTGTAGTTTGGTGAGCCAACAGCATCTTTGGCAGAGAAGGCTAAAGACCTTCAACTCTAATGATTCCATAGCTTTGAGCTATGGTAGTTCAAGTGATGCTGCAGAGGATCGGTTGCTGAGGAGATTCTACTTGAACATTAGGAAGAATTTCCTGACTGTGAGAGCTGTTCAGCAGTGGGACTCTCTGCCCCGGAGTGTGGTGGAGGCTCCTTCTTTGGAGGCTTTTCAAACAGAGGCTGGATGGCCATCTGTTGGGGGTGCTTTGAATGCAATTTTCCTGCTTCTTGGCAGGGGGTTGGACTGGATGGCCCATGAGGTCTCTTCCAACTCTATGATTCTATGATAGGACAGGGAGATGTCAAAACTATATATTATATATTACGTGTTATATCTTTCTTTGCTGTCACCAATTTATTATTAAGGTTTCTTTTTTGCCACCATTTATTAATCCATAAGCCACCTCCTTGCTAAGATGTTCCAGAAGACACAGGTGAAACACAAACAAGAATATTACGAATATTTTGTTTTTGAACAGTAAAGATGCGTAGTGGTTTCAATAAACTGGCAGGTTTTACCTTTACAGACAATAGTTTTATAACATGGGTTCTTGAAAACTATGCTCCTCGCACAGGAATACAAACAGGTTGTTTAAACCTTTGAATCCTCTTTCCCAGCACTCTAAACTATAGAGGCTCACTATCATTCTTAGCCCTTCTTCCCTGAAGGCTTTTAACTATTTTCCTCAAAGAGGTATCTTTCTAACAACAGTTCCCAAAACACTTCCTTTCTTCCACTTCCCAAAACTCACTCTTCAAACTCCAGACTAAATTCTGGCTGCATAGCACTTACTTTTCCTCTGGCTCTGCCCTATGAGGAGCGGCTTAAGGAGCTGGGCATGTTTAGCCTGAAGAAGAGAAGGCTGAGAGGAGATATGATAGCCATGTATAAATATGTGAGAGGAAGCCACAGGGAGGAGGGAGCAAGCTTGTTTTCTGCTTCCTTGGAGACTAGGATGCAGAACAATGGCTTCAAACTACAAGAGAGGAGATTCCATCTGAACACAAGGAAGAACTTCCTGACTGTGAGAGCCGTTCAGCAGTGGAACTCTCTGCCCCGGAGTGTGGTGGAGGCTCCTTCTTTGGAAGCTTTTAAACAGAGGCTGGATGGCCATCTATCAGGGGTGCTTTGAATGCAATTTTCCTGCTTCTTGGCAGAATGGGGTTGGACTGCATGGCCCATGAGGTCTCTTCCAACTCTTTGATTCTATGATCTCTGGAACTCCCTCAAATTTCACCTGTCAAGCAGACTGCACTTCCAGCTAAGCTACCTGACCGCTCCTCCCCTCCCCTGCTCTTCTTAGCTTTTTCAAGCCAGGCTTGTTACGGAAAGGTAGGCTAATCCCTTACAGGTGTCAAACTCCATTAATTCTACAGTGTAGTCTACAGAAAGTGATGGAGCTATATTCTCAGGCATAAAGAGACAGGAGGAAACGCTGAAAATCTTCACCTGAGTAAGACACTTGCCTGTTGCTCAGAGTGAGATGCCAGGTTTAGACAGGTAGCAAGGAAGGATTTGAAAGACCCCTTAGACCAGTGTTTCTCAACCTGGAGGGGTCACCAGGGGGTGTCAGAGGGGTCACCAAAGATCATCAGAAAACACAATATTTTCTGTTGGTCATGGGGGTTCTGTGTGGGAAGTTTGGCCCAATTCTATCATTGGTGGGGTTCAGAATGCTTTTTGATTGTAGGTAAACAATAAATCCCAGGAACAACTCCCAAATGTCAAGACCTATTTCCCCCAAACTCCACCAGTGTTCACATTTAGCATACTGAGTATTCATGCCATATTTGGTCCAGATCCATCATTGTTTGAGTCCATAGTGCTCTTTGTAGATGAACTACAACTCCCAAACTCAAGGTCAATGCCCACCAAACCCTTCCAGTGTTTTCTGTTGGTCGTGGGCATTCTGTATGCCAAGTTTGGTTCAATTCCATCCTTGGTGGAGTTCAGAATACTCTTTGATTGTAGGTGAACCATAAATCCCAACAACTACAAATCCCAAATTATGTTTCATAAGAGGAGCAAAAGTAATTTAAAAGTAAGTTATGAATTAGCAAAAGAATGTTATGGTTGGGGGTCACCATGACATGAGGAAATGTATTGAGGGGTCGCGGCATTAGGAAGGTTGAGAAACACTGCCTTAGACCAACGGTTCTCAACCTGTGGGTCCTCTACTCCCAGAAATCCTACCAGTGGTAAACTGGCTGGGATTTCTGGGAGTTGTAGGCCAGAACACCTGGGGAACCACTGCCTTATACAGGTTGAGAACCACTGCCTTATACGTTATCAGAAGAATCATTTTAAGAAAGTACAACAAGTTTTGATGGTCTTCACCAACGTTGAGTTTCATCAGCCATTTTTGTTCTCACCAGGAGTGGATCCCTACGTGATCATAAAGTGCGAAGGGGAGAAGATCCGTTCACCAGTGGTGAAGAACACCACGTCTCCAGAATTTGACGTGAAAGCCTTGTTCTACCGGAAGAAGCCGGGGCAGCCAGTCCTCATCCAGGTAGTGCCTTTTTTGACCAGGAAAGAAGGGGCAGGTGCAGTTCATAAATGGGAATTTTGTGTGTGTGTGTCAGGAGCAACTTGAAAAACTATAAGTCACTTCTGGTGTGAGAGAATTGGCCATCTGCAAGGACGTTGCCCAGGGGATGCCTGGATGTTTTGATGTTTTACCATCCTTGTGGGAGGCTTCTCTCACGTCTCTGCATAGGGAGCTGGAGCTGACAGAGGGAGCTCATCTGCACTCTCCCGGATTCAAACCTCCGACCTGTTGGTCTTCAGTCCTGCCGTCTCTCACGTCCCTGCCTGGGGAGCTGGAGCTGACAGAGGGAGCTCATCTGCACTCTCCCGGATTCAAACCTCCGACCTGTTGGTCTTCAGTCCTGCCGGCACAAGGGTTTAACCCATTGCGCCACCGGGGGCTCCATAAATGAGAATATAATTTGAGATCTTATTGAGGAGTCACAATCCAAAGATTAAGATATTGCCATTGCCAGGGGTTATATTTGCTCTCGGTTGGCCAAACGAACCACAAAAAATTGCTTTTTCAGCCTAGCATTTCACCAACCAAAGTGTCAGGATGCAGGATAATGTGATCTGCAACATCTTCCTGGTAACAGGGTGCTTTATCATCATAATTACCATCATTATTATTGTATTGACAATACAAGTACACCACTGCATCATCATTCAAAATATCCCCAGTATACCCTAAATAGGCTAAATTAACTATATATAAAATTCCCCACTTAAAATGAAATATCAATTAATCAATTAGTAATTAATTTATTAATCAGAAGAGATTTGGGGCTTTTTTTTGTGAAATAGGCACATTAGAAGATATTTTGGAAGATGGCAGGCAAGTCTAAACAGAGAAGTCATTTATATTTCATATACACCTTATAGCCATAGCCTAAAGGCAGTTTTGTGCATAAAACCAAGTTTGTTTACATTGAACCATTAGAAATCCAAGGCATCACATCGACAATCCATACTTTGTTGTTGTTGTTGTTGTTGTTGTTGTTGTTGTTGTTGTTGTTGCTGTTGCTGTTGTTGTGCATGGCAGGGGATTTTGCACATGGCAGGGAGATGGACTCTATGGTCTTTGTGATCTCATCCAATTCCATGATTCTGTTCTACGATTGAAAAGACACCTTGATCTGAATGTATTTCTTACCAGATGGTCCACCATTCCCTGTTTTGCTTCTTCCAGGTCTGGAACCATAACCTCCTAACAGATGAGTTCCTGGGCCAAGTCTCTCTGGTGGGAGACCCCAACGAGCTGCATCCTTTGCACATCATCCATCTCCAAGACAAGGGCGGCAAGCGAGCCAACGACCTTCCGGGCACCATCCAGGTGCAGTTGCTCACCAGCAGCATCCTGACCAACATCTGAAAGACAATCCCTTTTGTGCCATTATATACAGGTGTACATACAATCTTACGATAGACAGTGTAGGGTGTCAGAAAACTATCTGTACAATATCAATTGTATATAAAACCAAAGGTGCAGCTACACTGTGGAATTAATACAGTTTGACGCCACTTTGAGTGAAAGCTCTGGAATCCTAGGATTTGTACTTTTGTGAGTCGCCAGCACTCTTAGAAAGGAGGCTAAAGGCCTTTTGAAACTACAACTCTTATTTTTCCATGACATTGAGCTGCAGCAGTTAAAGTGGTACCAAACTGCATTAATTTTGCAGAGTAGATACACCCTGGGATTGTAAAGGTAATTTCTGGACGCCCTGTATATACATATATATACATATACATATATAAAAATACGCACACACATACATTTGATGGGTAATGTATGATGTGTACCATGCATGCATGCATTTATAAAAGGGGGGGGGACCATCTCATGCGTTCGAATTTTTTTGGTTACTTTACATTTTTTTATACAAAGGTGCCTTTTTTCAAAATGATTGTGTTTATGGGTCTTTGTTGTTGTCGTTGTTGTTGTTTTCCTTTCTGAGCAAATCTGAAAAAAATTGTTTTGTGATGGACAATTTGTGGGTGGACGATTTCGGAGTGGCTGCAAGTGCAGGTGCCACAAGGATGTATGTTTACAAAGAGAGATCTCTCTCTTTCTCTCTCTTTCTTCCTTTCTTCTCTCTCAGACGCACACATGTGGTTGGGGAGGCATTTGTATCCCCAACCCAGAAATAACCATATTGCCAAGTTCACCAAAGGGCTCTCGTTCTTAACTTGCATATCCCTGGGGCTGATGGCAACAACATCCTAAGAAAGACTATAGGACAGTGGTTCTCAACCTTCCTAATGCCACGACCCCTTACTACGTTTCCTCATGATATGGTGACCCCCAACCATAAAATTAGTTTCGTTGCTACTTCATAACTCATTTTTCTGCTGTTATGAATAGTAACAGATTGGGGGAGGGTATTGATTTTGTCCTGTGGGAGTTGTAGTTGCTGGGATTTATAGTTCACCTACAATCAAAGAGTATTCTGAACTCCACCAACGATGGAACTGAATCAAACGTGGCACACAGAATTCCCATGACCAACAGAAAATACTGGAAGGTTTTGGTGGGCACTGACGTTGAGTTTTGGGAGTTGTAGTTTACCTACATCCAGAGAGAACTGTAGACTCAAACAATGATGGATCTGGACCAAACATGGCACAAATTCTCAGTATGCCCAAATGTAAACAGTAGAGTTTGGGGGAAATAGACCTTGACATTTGGGAGTTGTAGTTGCTGGGGTTTATAGTTCACCTACAATCAAAGAGCATTCGAACCCTACCAAGGATTGAATTGGGCCAAACTTCGCACACAGAACCTCCATGACCAATAGAAAATACTGTGTTTTCTGGTGGTCTTTGGTGACCCCTCTGACACCCCCTCGCGACCCCTCCAGGGGTCCCGACCCCCAGGTTGAGAAACACTGCTATAGGAGTTAATCAAGAAACCACTTAATTGTTTCCCCTGGATTCCCTTTACCTGCACAAAGGATTGGCATTCAATGTACCTTTGCCCAGGTTGACTGAGATTCTGTGCCAGTGAAGTAAAAGCTTAAGATTATTTTATTGGGTGTAGAAAGATCTGCATTTCAGCTTGGTTTTGTTGACTTATGGGCCTCTGGTGGTGCAGTGGGTTAAACCGCTGAGCTGCTGAACTTGCTGACCTAAAGGATGGTGGTTTGAAACCAGGGAGCGGAGTGAGCTCCCCCTGTTAGCCCCACCTTCTGCCAACCTTGTTGTTGTTCGTTCGTTCAGTCGTTTCCTACTCTTTGTGACTTCATGGACCAGTCCATGCCAGAGCTCCCTGTCGGTCGTCACCACCCCCAGCTCCTTCAAGGTCAATCCAGTCACTTCAAGGATGCCATCCATCCATCTTGCCCTTGGTCGCCCCCTCTTCCTTTTTCCTTCCATTTTCCCCAGAATAATTGTCTTCTCTAAGCTTTCCTTTTTCTGCCAACCTAGGAATTCGAAAACTTGCAAATATGAATAGATCAATAGGTGCTGCTTCTGCGGGAAGGTAATGGCTTTCCATGCAGTCATGCTGGCCACATGACATTGGAGGTGTCTCTGGACAACGCCGGCTCTTCGGCTTAGAAATGGAGATGAGCAGCATCCCCAGAGTCGGACACGACTAGGCTTAATGTCATTGGAAACCTTTACCTTTGTTGAGTTAAGCAGTTCCTGTTCTGCATTATTTACTGTGGGTAAATGATGCCAACAAAAATCCAAGAAAGTCACATTGCTATTGGTACAAATAGGGGATTTAGTGCTCTGTGCACATTTTATCTCACCAGTAAAACTAAACCAACATTTTGCAGAAGGGGGAAAATGCAGCTCATAAAGAGGGGCTGCTAAGCGGCCAGATGGCTCATTAAATTCTCCGTCAGCAGTCAGTGGGATAATCGATTTTCAACAAATTATTTTAATTTCCTGGGAGGGGAGACCTTGCTGGTTCGTTGCAGCAGAAATGACAGCAGTGTTTGTAGCATCTCATTAGATTAGACTACAGTTTGCAAAAGCTAATGCTAAATACAGTCTTGGAGCATCAGATACCTTCTGATCTTGGAAGCTGAGCAGGGTCAGAAGTGGTCAGTATTTGGGTGGGAGACCACCAGGGGCTAAAGCAGTGGTTCTCAACTTGTAGGTCTCCAGGTGTTTTGGCCTACAACTCCCAGAAATCCCAGCCAGTTTACCCGCTGTTGGGATATCTGGGAGTTGAAGGTCAAAACACCCGGAGACCCACAGGCTGAGAACTACTGAGTTAAAGGCTAATTTTCAGTGGAAGGAAGTAATAAAACAACCTCTGACTATTCCTTGCCTAAGAAAACCCTATGAAATTCATGTGGTAGTCAGAGTTTGGCAGGCAACTGTAAGGCACGCACAAAATGCCACCAGACTTGTTTGCTTTGGAAATTTCAGTAACTATTTTGTACCATTATATGCCTATCTTCTTGGCCATAAGGACCTAGTAACGTTCCTGGTGCCAATCTCCATCTCATTTAATTGATTGCCTTTTAGAGTGGCAAAGATGAGACTCATATTTTACTTTGCCCCTTTGATATGTTCAAATTGTGCCATAGAAAAGAAGCCACATATAGAAAGGTTCAGGAGAAGGATATAGTGCCACAACTTTAATAATGAAAACAATATTTGACACAGTCTTCAACCGGTTCAGACGGCATTTGGAGATCTTTGAAGTTCAGGCTAAAACCCAGTGTGTTGTTGTTCATTCGTTCAGTCGTCTCCGACTCTTCGTGACCTCATGGACCAGCCCACGCCAGAGCTCCCTGTTGGCCGTCACCACCCCCAGCTCCTTCAAGGTCAGTCCAGTCACTTCAAGGATGCCATCCATCCATCTTGCCCTTGGTCGGCCCCTCTTCCTTTTACCTTCCACTTTCCCCAGCATAATTGTCTTCTCTAGGTGTAGATTCCCCAATCCACTACACTGACCCCGCTAACACAGGAGTAATGTTTTTTAGTGTTTCCCCATAATGTTGGTCCCTGCAGGTAGAAACCTAGCTTCTAAGGAGAGAAGCTCTTACCTTGCTTGTCCTTGGAATGTTTGTGTGCTAGTTTTCTATATGCAAGGAAGATTCATTTTGTTGTTGCATTAGAAGGTTAAATTATCATTCTCTTTTTTAGAAAACATTGATAGAAGGCTGTCCTATGAAGAGTCGTAACCCAAAAAGAAATGTTCCCCTTGATGCTTAATAATAATAATAATAATAATAATAATAATAATAATAATAATAATATACTTTATTTATATTCTGCCCTATCTCCCCAAAGGGACTCAGGGTGGATTACAGAACACTTATACGGCAAACATTCAATGCCGGTATACAATTAACAAAGACAGACAATGCATAAACAGAGGTAAAGGCTTCCCATCTTTTTCCATCTCCGGCATCTGGAGGCTGTGCTCGACTCCGGCCACTGGGAGTGCTGTTGCTCCATCTTCCATGCTGAGGAGCTTTGTTGTTTTCAGACGCTCTCCGGATCTAATCGCCGGCATGTCTGCATATGTGCCTTTTTATTACCTCCCCGCCAAACTGGTACCTAATTTATCTACTCACATTGCTGTTTTCGAACTGCTCTTTTAGCAGAAGCTGGGCTGACGGTGGGAGCTCTTAGAATCATAGAATCAAAGAGTTGGAAGAGACCTTATGGACCATCCAGTCCAACTCCCTGCCAAGAAGCAAGAAAATTGCATTCAAAGCACCCCCGACAGATGGCCATCCAGCCTCTGTTTAAAAGCTTCCAAAGAAGGAGCCTCCACCACACTCCGGGGCAGAGAGTTCCACTGCTGAACAGCTCTCACAGTCAGGAAGTTCTTCCTAATGTTCAGATGGAATCTCCTTTCTTGTAGTTTGAAGCCATTGTTTCCCGTCCTAGTCTCCAGGGAAGCACCAACCTAGGAATTCGAAAACTTGCAAATATGAATAGATCAATAGGTGCTGCTTCTGCGGGAAGGTAATGGCTTTCCATGCAGTCATGCTGGCCACATGACATTGGAGGTGTCTCTGGACAACGCCGGCTCTTCGGCTTAGAAATGGAGATGAGCAGCATCCCCAGAGTCGGACACGACTAGGCTTAATGTCATTGGAAACCTTTACCTTTGTTGAGTTAAGCAGTTCCTGTTCTGCATTATTTACTGTGGGTAAATGATGCCAACAAAAATCCAAGAAAGTCACATTGCTATTGGTACAAATAGGGGATTTAGTGCTCTGTGCACATTTTATCTCACCAGTAAAACTAAACCAACATTTTGCAGAAGGGGGAAAATGCAGCTCATAAAGAGCCAAGCTCCGGGGCAGAGAGTTCCACTGCTGAACAGCTCTCACAGTCAGGAAGTTCTTCCTAATGTTCAGATGGAATCTCCTTTCTTGTAGTTTGAAGCCATTGTTTCGCGTCCTAGTCTCCTGACCCTGGGCTTGAATTGCCAAACTTCTTCTACAGCAGGCGGTCTAACCACTGTGCTAGCCTGGCCCTAGTTGCTCTAGTTTTCCAACAAATACCTCGTTGAGTCACCCAGGCTGGAACTGTCGACATTTCGATCGGCAAGATTTTCTGCAGCTGCTGGTTTAACCGGCCCAGCTGTGTTTCTTAGAGTATTATAGCACTGTGTCAACGAAGTGTTTGGGGGAAATTATATTTAATGTTATAAAGCTCCCTGAATCCCAATGGGATTTTTTTAAGTGTATTTCCCCAAGTTTTAGGTAAATGTCTGTTCTTAGGGCAGAAGTCAGCAAACTTTTTAAACAGAGGGCCAGGTCACAGTCCCTCAAACTACTGGAGTGCCAGATTATAATTTGAAAAAAATATATAAATGAATTCCTATGCACACTGCACGTATCTTATTTGTAGTGCAAAAAAAAAAACACTTAAAAACAATACAATAATTAAAATGAAGAACAATTGTAACAAATATAAACTAATTAGTATTTCAGTGGGAAGTGTGGACCTGCTTTTGGCTGATAGGATTGTTGTTATTGTTG